TGAGAAGTGACAATTAATTTATTACAGAAGATATTCATAAGGATATATAAACAGGAAATGGAATCAGTGCAAACAAGAATTTTACCACTTCAGAAAAATTATTAGATATCCACTTAATTGATTCATAATTACACAGAAGTTCGACTCGGAAAACACTGCATTCATTGGGAATTCTAAAGAATTTGTATTCCTGTTCAGAGCCATGATGAAAAAAGACATAAAGTAGTCCAACCGATTAGTAATTCTACTGCCATCTGTATAACACACTGAGGAATTATCTTCAATGGAATTGTCATAAATTATAGTTTGAAATGGGAATCGATCAGCAGGGTGAGGAAGATACCCAGACAACATCTTCGTATCGATCATAAGTTTGCTGATGGTATCTTTAAACTCTTTGTCGTGTAAAACATAAAGATCCGTCAGGAGAACTCCGGAATTGCGAAATAGGCTTCACAGCTGATTGTTCTTTAGCCTCTTGTAAAATTCTTCTTCGAATTCTCCAAAGAATACGAAAATTAATCTTCTCTTCCAAAGCTGTTCTCCACATTTTCGAAGCAAAGCAAACAGTAGGAACTATACTCTGTTTATAAATCATGCCAATAACATTAGACTTGAAACCAAAAGTATTGTAAGAAAAGCGGTTAAATCCTATGAGTACATTTTCACCTTTTTCCAATAGATACAAAATAACTTTCCCAGCGAAACTTATGATAAATAAGAATAATGTTTAATTTCATTTACCGTCTCCAGTAAAATATTATCCAAGTACGTGCTTTCTTTTAATTTTCTTAAACATTTCGTTGGGCTTGGGCTGACTGCGAGTGAGCATGAGCAACAACAACAAATTTTAGATTAATTAGGATTGAATTGCATTTTCTGCTCTCTAGACCAGTGTGAAAGCCTATTAAGGATGTGCTCAGTCATATTAAAAAGTGCATCGGAACACTTCTTCTGAAAGCAAATCAGTAGATAATCAGCAAAATCGATTGGTTTACAGCCAGACAATCTGAGAACATCATTTATAACTAAATTCAATTGTAAGGGTCCAGACACCGAGCCATGAAGGCACCCTCTTTCCAAAGTGCAAGAAATAGAAGCATGGCCAAGGGAGAGTCTGTCACCTAGAAAATCTTTAATAAGAAAGAAACTTGACTCATTGAACTTGGCTTTAAATTTTAGACTTTATCCAGTCAGATTTGTTTAAAGCTCTAACTTCAATCAGGCTACGTCAACACGGTTTATCATCTGAACTCATTCTCGAGAATAATCTCTGACCGGCCGAAGCCATCTTGGTGGATAAAATGAACAGATAAGAACTTAATGACTATTTGGAAAATCGATCCTCTTTCAAATTCCAACCACACTTTATATACTTCCATCTTAAATTATTAATAAAATTGATTATGTTATTTTATACCGCAACGTTGCAAAGCAATCTTCAATATTGGTTTCTAGTTAAAAATTTAAAATATTTTCCTATCAGTTTATTGAATAAACTGAATATTTTGTATAGCACTTTCTCTATAAATCACAGTGTATCATTTCATAGCAAAGCCTGCACAGCTTGTAACTGAACAAAGATTCGAGGTATAGTCAAAACATTATTTTCGTTTTCTAATACTTTTGGATGTAATTTCTTCCACATTTGACGTAGAAGACACAACACCAAATTATACCGATTGTTCAAAGAGCCAGACATTGTTCATTACATTACAATAAGCCGCCTCGGTTGCTCTAGCATGTTATCCGTATGAACGACAGTAACATATTAAAAGAAACACAAGAAACACAAGGAGAAGATTAAGAACTAGACTTCGATGGATAGATGCTCTAGAGGAGGATTGTTTTATCCTTTTAACTAAGAATTGAAGGAGTTAAATATACCTGAATGCTAGTAGATCAGCTCTCCTGATCTACTAGTATTCAAAGAGAGTAGCTAGTAGATCAGGCGTCAAGATGAGGAGGCCTTGGCTCAGCGTGGGCTGTTGAGTCATGGATGATGATGATATCCTCACATATCTTCAATAATTTCATTAGCGCTAATTTCAGAAACTATTGTTTCGTCTTTCATATAAGGGTTTTAAAATGATTCACCCTACTCTCAAAAATAAAGAATATGTGAAAGATTAAATTAGCAAAGTACATTTCCCTTCTCAATTCTAAAAATAGTAACCTCTGTATTGCGTCATTTCTAGATTAATCCATGTCATATGACTATTACATAATTCTGGTGATGTAAACGGAAAGCAAAATTAACTATCCAATCAAAATGCATTGAGAACCGAAACTAACGCTTTGGTTTAGCTGGATTACTGTCTGTCTGTTGCTTTCTTCTTACTAAAAATTTACCAAAAATGTAAACCTCTTGTAATAGGCACAAATGCGCCAGCTTGCTTGTGACCACAACATGTATATTGAAATAAAAGTTGAATTAAATATACCTTGACTGCCAAATTTCTTATTCATTGTGGATCGGCACACCAAAATTCTCGCTATTACGGTTTCAACTACCTGTCTTTTGCTACAGAATATATTACATATATACTTTGGGTGTGGCCGATTGCAACCAAAAAGAGAGGTGCGCAACTACATGTTATAGCACTCCCATATACAAAATTGCATTTTCTGAGGCTACTTGGTTTAGAGTTATGCGAGATACATGCATGCGTGTGTACGTAGACGTACAGACGTTTCGAAAAAATCTCTTTTGAATTCATTTTAAATATGTTTTATAATTCGTTTGGGGAAAAGAAGAGTTCTTAATTCTGTCCGTACGTACAGATGTCACGCAAAAGTTTAAATGGATTTGAGAGCGGTCAAAATGGATATTTTCGTTGAAATATGATTCCCGAAATTGTTAGCGATTTACAGTACTCCCTTTACTTCATACAAGGAAGCAAAAATGACTAAGTAACTACTCCAAATGAAAACGTTATAACAATGTATTATCTTTTAGACGTTAAATTAAGTTTACTATACCAAAAATGGTAGCGTTTCGAAGTTTTTTCCAAGCGTAGATTGCAGCAAATTTTCTACAACACGAAATTGTCATTTACTCCAATTAAATTCTATTGCACACTTTTCTTTCTAAAGTGCTCATGCAAATTCTATTTAATTTCCTTTATAAAACTCTAGAAACAGAAAAAAAGTAATACGAGAAAAGTAATTCTTTGCTAAGCAGACGATCCTGAACAAAGCTTTTCTTTAATTTAAATACTCTAAAACTAACCTACTTTTGGATTTCAATACAACTTCAGTAGAAATTTGCATTTTAACGGATTATAGTCTTTTAATCTGATCGACTCGAGTGAAAACAAACTACTTATTTGAAAAGGAACTTTAATACCCCCTTGTTTTACTTTAATTAAAATGCTTACACGGTTCTAAAATTAGCCTGTTGTTAACAATTACTTAATTTCAGTGTACAAATCTAAGAAACATAAGATTCGTTACTTTGTAATTAAATAGACTTCTAGCGTAGGTATTTTAAATACTTTCATAATATTAGGGTACTTTCAACTTAAAATTGAAAATATTTAATTTGAAGTAATACATTATTTTTTAATATGAAGTACATGAATCTGTTTGTTTTATTGAATGCGAATATTTTCGGTCTATACTGCAAATATCCTACTTCAAATTAATATTTCTGAATACTTTCCATTTCTGTAGGAATTTTAATTAATTGTTTCTGTAATTTCTTTAGATTTCTCAAAATTATTTAAGTTAGTAAACACGTGGAAAATATTTAACGCATATGAATGAAATATTGAGTATAAGAAATATGTTACAGTAGAATGTTTAATACCTTAAATTTATAGTAACATTTTCGATTTTTACTTTAGCTCTATTTTTTGGCTATTGTTAGGTATTAAAATACCATGAAAATATATTATGGACTTGGATGTACTGAGAACAGTACTGAGGGATGTCAATACAGCATTAATATTTTCAACTTGTTTGTATTCCCATACCATTTCAGTTTATTTTGCTTGGAAACAACTTTAAAAGAAACTTTTAATCGACGAAAATCAGTATCCCCAAATAAAAATAAACCCGTTTGGCAATTTCTGCAAAATTAATCCCTTAAATTTTATTATTGAATTTGCTTGTGACAGATACAGAAATTTTAGATCTTTATAAAAAAATTAAAAATCTTAATTGCTGTGGTAATTTTCTTTAGTGCACGCATAAGATTAACCCTCTCGATATCCACGGGCAACGTAGAAGTAGCAAAATTTGTGCAACCCGCAATTTCCGCGGGGATGAATTTTTGCCGTTTATTTCATTGTGTAACCCGCTCTTTCCCCGTTCGAGGTTTCCTTTAGGCTTTTCTATGAAGTTTAATTGTTTATTTAGATATGGGCTAATAGATGGCGTTAGTTGTCCACATTTCTGCCAAATATACCAGAATACGTAATGTAGCATTTTGCGCGCGCTTTTCAGAGTTCAAACATGTCTGACAGGAAGTGTTTCGCGATTGATATAATCTATATTCCTGACGATATTTCCGACACTGATAGTAGTTTTGACTCTGATTTCAAGTATATTGAAGATAGTTATAGCGAAACTGATGAGAATTTCTCGGATTCCTCTGCAGATTAGTGATGAATCTGAAAATGCAGTTTCTATTAAAAACGTTCGACAGTGGTGCACAAAATTGATATGCAAAATATTACATTATGCAAATATTTTCATTAGTATATATGTGTTTTACCTTTGTATTTTATAAAATAAATCATAATTTAACAAACATTAATTTTCAAAATTTTACCTTTTATATCATTCATTCTTCAATTTCAGTATTCTGACAACCTTTTTCTATGATCTAATTCTATATTGAAAAAAAACTCTTTTACAAAACATTTTTGTATATTTTAACTCTAAAAATATATGTAGATTTGAAATATGTAATAAAAAATAAACAATTTTTGAACCTATTTTGATAAAAAAAAAGTACGCAGTGAGAGGGTTAATAAAGTTCTAAATTCTTTCAGTAACTCGTCGGCTTCCGAGCACAGCTGTCGATGCTCTCGCAAAAGATAATGATGACATGCCTATCTTACTACTTGTTGTCATTTGTGTGGCAGGAACTCTTCTGATACTCATCAATGGAGCAATAGTAGCTTGTTATATGCAAAGGAAAAAGAAAAGACAAACTCAAGGTAAGTCTTTGTCCCAGTATTTTAACACTGCACTAGCTTTCATTCATTGATTGGATCTCTTCTCTACGACATGTTTTGCTTCGAATATGAATCCACAAATTCGAGAAAAAATATTATGGTTGAATTCGTTTAAAATTAAATCTTATGGACACTGAAGAATGTTTTTGCATTAATGGTTGCCGCCGCTGACTGCCGTGCCGAAAGATCCGGGTTAGAATCCCGAAGAAGGCATGGATCTATGTTAAATGTATAGTGCCCGTGTGGTATGGGGGCAATCTAAATATGCAGTGAGCTCAAAGTCCTCTCGAATGTTGATCGTAGGAGAAGAGCGGTGTGAGACCCACGGACCCGTCCTCCCCCCCCCCGGAGTGCTCTCCATCAAAATGGCGGGGGGGGCGTAACTGAGCTAAATCGCACTGTCACCTGTAAGGTGATCAAGGCTATTGCCAACGGCATACGTAAACTTTCGTTCCTATCTACAAGAATTTTCACGGGGTTGGGCTGACTATAGGTCAGACAAGTGAGTATTAGCAACAAAAACAATGTTTTTTAATCAGTAATTTCGCTGTAAAATAATATAACTCAAAAAGATTAAAGATTAATACAAATGCAAAGAGATGTACAAAGACGACTGACCGAAAAGTTTTACAATTTGCGTTCGTATCCCATGTTTCGATATTATAGAAGACGACAATCTGAAAGTGGTATATCGACATGTCTGCATATACAGCTAGCTCCAGTATTCGGATGCAACTAGATTCAGTATTCTGATGCGGCTAGATTCAGTGAAATTCAATGAATAGAATTAACTAATACATATTGTTTAGGTAGGTGAAGAAAACTAAGCTGCAAAAGCATTTTGACTGAACTTTATGTTAATGCGAAGTATAGACATGAAGCATTTTTTACATTTTATAGCTTTCAATGTTGGTGAAACATTTAGATGTGCCTCCACATTTCATTGATGAGGCACTTTAAGCATGGTAACATGCGAGTGATTGAAAAGCCTACCCCAAATCAATCACAGTTGCAGATGCCAACATTACCAACTCACAGACTAACAGAAAGCGGCGAATTTTATACAGATTTCCTGAAAACCCGTTTCTTTCGGATCATGGACAAATAATACCGGATTTTCTCAAGACACAGCGTATACTTTTCAAATATTCTTCAAATAACCTGGCTTATCTTCATATGATTTCTGGACATTCTTAAAATTGAAAAGGCAAGTACATAGAAAGGATTCCTCTTCGAATAAGGAAACGAAAATGTTTTATGGCGGTAGTTCAAAAAGGGATGTCGCAAAATACGTTTTTTCGTTCATTCAATCAAGTTCGCGTTTTGAGTCATTCATTAAGATGCAATTAAAAATGTAATCTAATATAAAGGACTCTACTTTTAAAAAGCAAAAAAAAAGGCGAGTTTGTATAATAACCACCACTTCTTGAGACAATAGGCGAGATTCTGAATAATAGAATCGGTTTTAAAACTATTTAATCCGCTTTACACATATTTTCCTAAATTCCTTTATTTTTAATTAATCGAAATATCCATTAAACGTTTCTTTTTGCTCGGGGTACACACTAGATGAATATTATTATATTACTCTATTTGAAAATAAATCTTTAAACATTAATCATCTATCACATTGGTCATAACTAGGCTCCTTTACAAACATTATTAGATTTAACTCAAGGGGCTTTTTGCCCTTTAAAACCTTAGAAATGAGTATTGTTGCAGTTAAGTGACGAGTTATCAAAGTAAGCTTGCTTAGCTTATGACATCCAACTATGGTACCCATATGTCACGAAAGCAATTTCGATTTATCTGAAAAAATATGCAAGACCTGCTTCTCTGTGTATAAAAAGGATCTAAAATAATCTCTCTTTGTAAAATCCAGGGGGGAAAAGAAGATAAAAAAAACCTTATGTTGCTGGCTATCTTGTTGTTAGGTGAACTTACGTTGTTAGGTATCTAAAACATTATTTATAATATTTCTTGCCAGTTTAATTAAAAGGTACATACGCAAAAAAGAAGTTCGTAAAAAATAATACGGTATATCAGTCATTAGTCAATGGCTTAGAAAACAGTTCATAACGGGTAAGCGCTTAATGTTGTTTTCAAGTTAGAAGTCTTGAAGCGTGAAATTAAAGCTTTAACCACTTCATTATGTACGAGTTCGATAGCAAACTAAACATTTATAGCATTTATAAAAATGTTTATGAGAGTAACTTATAAGGATTATGTTAATTTTATTAACAGTTAAATTTCAAGTTAAAGTTCCTTTCCTGTAGATTCTTAACTTCAACTTACTACTTCCGGCCAGAACGTAGTTTTAGAATCACGTCTGAATACATAATGAGGAAAAGCGGTATTAAACCGCGAAGTTCTACTGTCTGGGCGTTACCAGGTATTCTGTCTGCACGCGTCCGCCTTTTTAAGCTTCTCTCTCGTAAGCTAATATTACGCTCGGCCGTGCTTAGGCCCTTGATAGCTTCGCAGTCAGTTAGCGTTAAGGGGCCAACTCGGTTAGAATCTTGATAGCTCTGGCTATATTTCTTTAGTTTAGATTAGTTATAGTTTACTTATTAGCCTCTTAAGTTCAAGCCCAAGAATCGGCTTTTATTGTACACTCCAAAACGGAGTTCTGTTAAATCTTATTTGAATAATAAAGGTTTATTTACCCTTCCATCTTGTTGCTTCTTGTCACACGAACTCAAGCGATTATTCGCTTACTAGTTCTTAAGATTCTTCACGTTTAACTGTAACTTAACATCTACAAAGTGAGGAGCTCTACAAACTGAAAAGCGAAAATCAGTATAATATTATTTCTCAGCGGTTTACGATGTTTAAATTTTTACAGAACTGAAATTATTGACAAAATAAAGGAACATCCTAAAAATGCATTTTCTTAATTCAAAATTTAAATTTAGTGACTTTTAAAATTTTAGTATCCGCGTTAAAGGACTTCTGACTATTTACGGACAGATGTTCAGAGCTAAAAACCAAATTTTACAGATAGAAATGTTTGCTGATTATAAAACTTAATCCAGTTATGCACCTAAATGCATTAAAAGTGAATATAGATTATATTGTAACACTATTCGATCGATAACTCTAAGTAAATTAATATTTACGGGAACTATACTTTCTTAAAATTATTAATAGTTTATAATGGAAGATAATTTGTTACCTTCAAAAAGTACTTAATAAAACATGTGCTGTAGATTAAAAATTTTCAGGTGCTCTTGGCCAAGTTCTGCAGCGCGTCCATTTGTTATGCCCTGCATGTTAATTGCAGCTCATATTTCTCAAATAAATTGTTTTAAAAATAATGATTACATATTCTGGATTTGTATATTTCTGAAATTGATTTCGAAGGTACCATGTGACTTTGTAATTTATTATGAATTGTGAAATTTCCACTTAACACTCTACTTTTTTGGAAATAAAGCTGCTTGAAACTATCATTTTGATAAAGAATGCATAGTTTGATGTTCTCCGCAAACATTGCGGCGAAAATGTTCTAAAAGAATTCTTCACGAGAAGCAGACATGAGGAGAAAACGTAGTCGGAGAAGAAAGAAAAGAGTGACAAAACAATTCTCAATTTTAAACATCTTAAAAAAACAGAGAAACAAAAAAATGGCAACGATAATTTCGAAGCATTGCCTTTACGAAATAGTGTGATAAAAAACTGCAAAACCATACTTTTCTAGATTTTATAGTGTCTTATCTATATGAAATGTATAATTTTTCAATGTTTTACAGCTGCTTTGTTACCATGATGTTTCGGAATTTCCAAAGTTCCTTTCTGAAGTTCTTTTGCACTGCCATGTTTTTTTTTTTTTTTTGACGAGATATTGACTGAAAAATTTTATCTTTGGATTTTATTTTTATCTTTGCATTTTTATCTTTTATTTCATTTTTTATCTTTTATTTTTATCTTTCAGACTTTTTGAGATGAGTATGAGGAGCCTTTAAATTTTCAGTAAACATTTAGTCTTTTTTGTTTGCTATCCTATTTATTATTACCTTACGTTTATTTGCAATCTCATTATTCAGAAATATCCAAATGATGGATGAAATGAAAAGATTTAAAAGTCACAAATATGACATGTTATTTAAAACTTAACCGCTATCTTAGCAAAGTTAGCTATTTTCTTCTGGCTCTTGTGAATTGGTAGAGTTTAAATTTTACCTGTTTCGAAAGATAAAAATAAATTTAAATCAAATGTTATTGAGAAGAAAGCCAATGCAAAAGTACCCTTCAAGGCGTTTATTATTGCAAACAATTGTTGAATTTGATTATTGTCCGACCGCAAGTCGTAGAAAATTTTAAGCTTATAAACTTAATTTGAGGTAATAAGTAACTTAACTTCTATAGATTACCTAATCGATGTACTTTTGTTATGATCTGATTTAAACTTTGCTCTAGATCAAGGCAGAAATCTGGTTAATAGTTAACGTTGACAAATAGCTAACGAAAGCTGCCAAGCTTTTAGAATTGTTTAATTTTAGTGATTTGGATAAAAAATATTTAATAGAAGAGTAGTTCGTTTTTAGTTCATTTAAAAATATATCACTCTTAAATTTTGTTTTGATAACGCAAAGTAATTATCTATTGTTTGCTATAATTTCTTACAAAAATCGCTTTAGTAAATGAATAATTTACAGGCTTGGCCTTTGAAGTGTTTGTTTACTAGCTACATACTATTTAAAAACACATTTCAAGCTTTCAATATTTTTTTCGTAAGTAATCATTTTTTAATCCTTTAATCGGTAATATTTAAATCAAAGTCTTATTATCTGTTAATACCTAAACATTTAAACCTAAGCATTTACCTAAACATTTTAATACCTAAACCTAAACTAAATATAAAATAGTAGCTAATATCAACTCCATTCTGGTTACAGGTAATAATAAACCTGAAACTAAACACTTATTAGTTGTTAGTACCTAAACCTTTTCCCATATAAATATAAAATAGTAGCTAATATCAACTTCATTCTGGTTACAGGTAATAGTAAATCTTAATGGTTGAATTCCTGCAACCGAGATTGCAAAAAGCTTAACTCACAACTAAAATTCGCTTCTCACTCTAAAATTCTCAGGCAAATAATTTATTACCTTTATTCAAATGCAATTACTTAAAAGCCTCCAGCTCGATTGCATAAAGAACGCTCTAAAGTGCATTCTCATGCTTAAGACGTATTTTTTCCGCAGCTTTTGCCGCTTAGGAAACTAAGATACCCTTTGATAAAAGAGTTTTAAACAATTTCTATGCAACGGTGGAATATCTTAATTCAGGTATGCGCCCTCGAAGGACCGTAGTAATAGAATAAAAATTTCAGTCTACTTTTATTTGCAGTTTTGCCTGAGCTTCTCTGTGATTCATCGCCTAACTTAGCATCCTCCTGCATGATTCATAAGCAAAGGTTTTCAATGGCAATTTCGGATTTGGGAAGAAGCTAAGGAATTGGATACCAGCAGGACGAAATAGAAGGTTGTCAGCGAAGAATAAATATTTTTCTACCCTCCCTGTAATTGCTTATATCCATCTTCGGACTGTTGGTTTGTTGCATGTTTGATAAGTATCCAGATAGCACGAAAGCGTGAGCGTTGATTTGACTATTTTTACTGCAAGATTTTATTGCAGCAAGAATGTAATAAAGCGGGCTAACATCACAAAAGAGAACAGCATCAGGGATAGTGGATGTGTGGTTTCTATAGTAACGGAATGGAAATGCGAGGGCCATTTTCCTACTCAAAATTCCTGGCTGTTCGTAATCCGGTGAGTTTTCGCGAAAAGATTTGAACGTCAAATTTTCTGTTTACTTGCCTTGTGAGGTCACTAGCGATATTCATTTTCCTCCAGAACTTTTCGTGTAATAAACTTCGAATGCTGATTTCAATATCAAAGTTGCAGAAATATAAGCCAGGAATGAACACGTTTCTTTCGCTGTATTCTGGAAAAAGTTTGCGTATTTTGACCCAAAATATGAGAATTTTTTTATTTATATTTACGATATGCCAAAGATGACATACTATTGCTTGCATTAGAAGTGATGGCTAGAAAATATCTTACATATAATTTTAAGTTCATTAGGCTGCATTGTACTATAAAACTTTTAACGTAGCAAAATTCAGCTTATTTGAAAACGATAGGGAAAAAATAAAATTGAATCAATGAATCCAAAATTCAGTCATTTAAATCATTTCATAGTTTTTTAAATCAAATTTTTATATATTTTTTCATTCTGTGAACATAAATATGTGTTTCAAAACGAAACAAATCAACTAAGAATAGTATGTTCAAAAATAGAGAAGTGTGAAGTTTTAGTTGGTACCTTTCTCACTGAAATGTTGCTTAAAGAACCTGCTCATAAACTTGCAAGGGTAAACAAGCTCAAAACAAAATCAATCCTTATTTCGAATAATTTTAAATAAAAGATATATTACTGCACTTGAATATGCATTTCTAATCATGTTGCAATATAGCGACATAAATGTGTTTTAACAATATTTTTGGATTGTTAGAAAACTGCTTTCATATAGTTTTGAAGTTTGATGATTCGGAGTATCAAAATTACATTTTCAGAATTTGGGGCTGATCGTAATTTTATAAATTTCGAATAAATGAAATAAAAATATTAAACGAAACAAATTTTTATTCTTCTTTAATTTAAAAACTAATTTCTATGTACTATCTGAAATGTTCCTTCATATTACTATCTGAACATTTTTCTGAAATGTACAGTTTATTCAAACATATGCTATTCTTCTTTAACTGATGTGGAAATCACTTTTAATATGATTTAATGCAGAAGTTCAGATTCATAACTGCGTTTTATATTTAAAGGGTTAAAACCGCTTCTTCTTTTGTTGAAAAAAATACATTCCTTCTTTAATTGACTTCTTTAATTAGTTTAAAGCAGAGTTTCTTAAACTGTGGGTTGCGACCCCCATGGGGGTCGCGGGATCTACAGCAAGGGGTCGCCAAAAATTTTAGCAGTTTTGATATTTCTTTAACTTATTATATTATAATAATTTTAGAATTGGCAAATAATTCTACATGGTGTATCTGAAAATAGATAAGACAACACAGACAAAGAAAAAACGAAAATGTTTTGACGTATTCTATTTATAACATAAAAGCTCATTTTACTTGCTTTGCACGTAACACTGTCATTTCGTCTGTTACTTATTTAAAATTTTTACATTGTATTTTTACATTGTTTTAAAATTAGAAATTAAAGTTAATGACTTAAAACTGGTATAATATATTACAGTGCAAGTGAAAAAATTGACAGCTTCACTGTCGCATGTTTCGGATTTGCGAAATGCTTATGGGGTCCCTCAAAATTTTCTTCAATATTATGAGTTCATGGGGTCGCGAAAATTATCTCAGTGATTAAAAAGGGATTGCGACTGAAAAAGTTTAAGAAGCTCTGGTTTAAATAATACGCTCTAAAATAAAAAAGAAGGTACCGGAAAATGTAAATTGCACTAAAAAATATAATGAGAGGTAATAAAAGGCGGAAAGCCTTTAAGATTGAGCAAAAAGTAATTGTTACATTTTTACTTCCTTGTACAATGTAAAAAAAGTGTTGTAATCGCGAAAAAATTCGGGTATCATATTTCAACGAAAATATCCATTTTGAGCGCTCTCGATTCACATAGTTTTGCGTGACATCTGTACGTACGGGCAGAGTAAAGGACCCCTCTTCCAAAATGGATAGTGAAATGAATTTAAGATGGATTCAGAAGAGATATTTTTCGTGATGCCTATGCGTAAGTACGTATGTATCTCGCATAACAAAAACAAAACACAAAAACGAGTATACGTAGAACGGTGAAATTTTGTATACGGGACTGTTATAACATGAAGTTGTGCGCCTCCCTTTTTTAATCGGCGGCACCAAACATATATATATATTGTCACTCTGTTACCTGGCTTGATCAGGCGAAATTTTCATTCTGATATGTTGGTAAATTGTGCACTTTTTGCTTTTAAAGTGATTGAATTAAGTTGTTCTTATGTTCCGTTTACGGTATTTATGCCTTTAGTTAATGAGCCTGCAATATGTGTAGACTTATCAACAATTTAAAAATTTAATTGATGCTAAGCCTAACGAAGCCGCACTTGAAATTCTCAATAAAACAGTGAATCTAGTCAGTTCGTGCACCAACTTCAGCGTCTTTGTGCTCAGTGAGACCAAATGTTATCTTTCAGTTTTGTGTACCGAAAATTTTGTCTTCCAGCCCGCTGGCGGAATTGCTTACTTTAGCGTAGAAACTCTAACTAGAATTGTAAAAATTATTTTTAACCGTTTTAACTGTATTTGGTATTTTAGGTTTGTCTGTATCTTACAATTTTTAATGAAGATTGAGATTTTATGTATTTTTTGTATTTTTTTTTTTTTTTTTTTTTTCTTGCTGTGAACTGAGAAATGAATTGATGCAATCAGAAAATTATTTCTAATGAAATTCCGTGAAATAAGTTTAAGTGAATTGCAGCAAAAAATGTGTATAATTTAACAGGCCGTATAATGAAAGTCATGTGTTGTCCACATCAGGTATTTTATTTTCAAGTATATAACTGGTATCAGTTAATCATTTTCACTGAATGTATACATGTGCATGCCCAGTGCAATTTACTTTAATTGCAATATCAAATATAACTTCGTTTCAGGTTACCCTGTTCCAGACACAAAAGGACCTCCGTTTGACTCGAGTATGTATTCGAGAGATAAATACCACGATACAATAAATGGTGAAGCTCTCAGAAGCCCTCTGAATGAAGGAGAGGAGACATTTCATGAAGAAATACTCATGAAAGAAATTATGGTGCGAATATTTTAAATAATTTAATTTTATATTAAGTATACGTCTTATCTTGCTACATACAGCAATTAATTTTTGGTCTTTCATCAAGCGTCATTATATTCTTGAGAATTGCTAACGGTAATAATAAATATTAAAATATTTAAAATTCATTCGTTCTATGCATTGAAAGGTTTTATTTGAGATTCGATGGTATTTGCTTACAAATTCATATTTCTTTTATCTTACAAAACGAATAAGTGCAACATTTTTCAAGTTGCATAAGTTCATTCGCCTTCATGACTTCCAACGCGAAATCAGGTCTTCAGCAGATCTTTACGCATCAAGAGAACACAGCTAAGTAGATGATGCACGGTTGCTTCATGTTTTTTACATTTGGCACAAGTTTTAGTACCACGAGATTTAAGACACGTACGTGATTTAGGACCACGTATTTGAGGGTCCTTAAATTTTCTGAAGTCAACTGAGCCAGAGCCGTTTGGTCCTTTTTGTCACCCATGAAACCAATCGCAGTACCAGGACCTGCACTACTATATCATGAGTGTGTCGGTAGTTATCTCCAAGAATTGTTAATTAAAGCCTTTTTTCTCGAGTATAGTTCAAGGTAGGTCAACGATACAGCATAAACATGAAGCATGGAAGCACCCTCCTTTGCTAGGGCCTGGATGATGGAGCTAGGGTCTGAGAGAACTAAGTGCTAGAGTCACAAGCAGACAGCGCCCGATGAACATTCATGTTTTAATCCTAACTAGTGTAGCTGATACCGGAGATGTCCTGTCCAAAACGGTAAGCTACGCTTGAAGAATTAACGTGCTAAAATTAGACAGAATTGTGACTCCTCTTACAGTAAAATTAAGCTGTGAATTTTCGTTATGAACTTTATGTTAGTCAAGTGAATTGTTATCTGTATTTTTAATGTTAATTCTCAAGCACAGACTAATTAAAGTTCAAGTTAAAAGTTATCCAGTTCTTGTCTGCATGAACCTGAAAATATCACTTCCATAATAATAACGCATGTAAGAAAATCTGCGGCCTCTTAGATTCCACAGAACTAGCTGTACAGGTTACATTAACACAAGTTCTCTCAAATCTAACGATAGGTGTCATAAAGTGCTTTTTTCATTAAAATTAAAAAATCCATTAATGCTTTTTGAATACAACTTATTACCAAAACCGAAGCACTTAATACTTCTTATGCGTCATGGCCGGAAAAATAATTTAGTTATTATGAAACTAATTACATTTCTTGAGATACTAAATGAATTTTGATTTTATTTTGTGACTATATTAGATCGTAATTTAAAGTGGAATAAACACACTTTAATTTTAATATAACGGTAAAATACGCAAAGCAAGTAGTCTAAATGAAAATATTATTAATACAATGTTTTAAAGAGCTTAGAATCTTGAAGCAGTACAACACTGAGCACATAAATTGCAAACTGGGTTATTTAATGTAGTTAAAGAAGCTATCTTTCTGATTCCATCCCAGTTTTGATCGGCAGCACCTTCTAAATAAAGGAAAGCGCTAATGCCTAATAAGAACGCCTTTTTTGTATTTTATTACCTACTCTGTCATTAGGCACTACACAGAAAGGGAAGATTGTTTCGGGGAGAATTTTCTAAGGAAAACTGGCTCGTATCCACGTTACATATTTGGAAAACTACAAAAGCACCCATGCAGCGAGCCAGTTCGCGGGATCTGGAACCGCGAACCGAACTACCAGTGCTCAGCAGCTTTAACCGCGTTGGCCCCTGGTAGGCCATGAGAAGGTTTTCAACTGCGGTTTCTAATCAGTAAATATGTCGGATACACTTATATTTATGAAAACTGTAGTTCCATAAAGAAATGAACAGAATGGACTAAAAATTGCAGAGAATACAAAGCCGATACAAAGCAGTGCAAAAAATTACAAATTCAGAATGAATGCACATGTCGGCAGTGCCTTTGTGAAGCCGAATAAACATATCACCAATAGTAAAGGGGAAACCGCCTCATATAAAGTCACTATACTTGCTCGGACTTTAAACAGCACAACGATAGTAATTTCAAACAGCACAAGTTGCAGATTTCCAATGATAATCGGCTTATAGGGAGAAAGAATTTCGTTTTGCAGTATTTGTAATGATGCTCTTGAAGAATATTTTTAGAAAGAAACTGAACTTTTCTGCACTGTACCACGATGAATTGTATCTTGTATATGGCAGTTAATCGTAAAATTGCATTTTCGCTGACAATTTTGTGCTGAACTCAGATGCGGTCAGAGACTTTTTCATACCCTCTAGGAGGGACAGAGACCACGAAAATTTTAAAGGTAAAGAAGCTAGATCTTCCTCGCTACGGCTAAACCAGGATGCTTTACATATTGCTGTACGTTGGTCTTATATATTTTCTGTTCATAGCCATCTAATATATGTTCCATGATAATGCAAATAGAATAGAAGCGAAGCACTAAATAGAATCGAATGCAGTTCCTTCAGCGGACTAGGAAACGATAGCCAACTCATCAGCATGGTAGTGATGAATTTCCGCAGTTTTTCCTTAAATGTTAGCGCCGCGTTTGAGCACTAAATGTATGGCATTATCTACATTCATAAATCGACAACTTCAGCTATTAAGAAGACTGAATTCATGCATTCCTTATGAAGAATTTCTTTAACTGTGAATCAGTGAAAATAGTCGAAAATGGTCTCGCTACACTTTCAGTACCGAATTGTTTTACCATGTCAAATCTGTATTTGCTTACGTTAACTGATAAAGTAGTGCAGCAGAATTAGGAATATGAGTCAAAATTGCTTTATGTCTTTTTAGCGGCCAATTTAGAGAGCAGGTTTGTTATACATTGCTTTCTGCGCTTATATATGATGAGGAACATTTTAAGTCGAGCTGTCCATGGAATGGAAACCAAGGGCCCCAACTCGTCTGCTTCTACCCCAAAACTACTCGAGATATCTTTCGGATCAGCAGATTTTGAGTCTTTATTTTCCACAAAGACCTTTCAGTCTTCCATGTATTCCCGATATATATGGGAAATTTAAAATAGATTATTTAGTCCTCTTCCGTTACGTTATGGACCCAGATGGCATATAAAATACAACATAAAATTGAAATCACATATTAACGATGCAGCCAACTTTAAAATACATATAATGAAAAAGTTGCATTATCCATGAAAATGTTTCATACATGTAAGAGTTAAATTAAGCATTGATAGTTTTGATTATAAATTACTATTAAAGAGGTAAACTGTATTACAGGTTAACTTAATAGAGGCATTTTTTAAAATGGCTTTTCTATGCACAAAGTAAAGAAATTTTAAATGAGTATGCAATTTGGTAAGTCAAGAGATGCAGTCTAAACTACTTTTATATTTGTTTTCCAGAAGCAAGAGCCAGAACCAGGGAAGAGCCCTAAAGTTGGACCCAAAGTTCCGCCTAGTAAGTTTGAAAATTCCAAAAATTCTTATAAGCTTCCAAAAATAATTAATACTGTGCATTGATGAACTCAAATCTAAGTAATTCTAAGAGCAAAAGATATGCAATTATTTTGGTGCTCTCAGACCTCTATGATAAAACTGTGTTTATTGTTTTTGGTAGATTGCCCTTGCGAGCTTAAGATTTGAGAAATAGATAAATATGGAAATAAAGCCCTACATACGAGAAAATGTGTCGGCGATACATATGGGAATAATAAATATATCCGTAAAAATATGTTTCATATAGAAAAGATTTAAGAAAAAGAATCTGAAACTCCTCAAATTACATTCTCAGAAATGTAAAAGCCGTTTTAAAAGCATTCATAAATACAGATGCATGTATGTTTTTTCATAGATCCGTAGCTGAGAATAATTTTCTTAATAATAAAACTTTAATTAATAAAATATTAATATTTGGATGAATGCTGCATAATATCCATTAAGGGCTTATATGCTTATGAAACATCAAAATATGCCACGAATATAGCATATTTTAAAGCCCAATGGTTTTCTATAGCCGGTTTATGATTGTGAATGTTTTATACATATTATGATATACTTAATATTACATTTCTTCTTTTACTTTGCGTTCCTGATATTAAAATATTTAAATAAAATGAAAATGAAACACAGGGTGGTTATAATTAAAGTTACTTTATTTAGATCTATGGAAAGCCCATTCTGTTAGAGCTATTTCGTTGAAACTTGGTATCTATGTTATGTGGACTATGTAGAAAAGAAATCTGTAATAAAAATTAATAGTTCACAGTTCGACCGATAGTTAGCGCTTTTAATACCATGTAGATCGTATGTTATGGGAATTTGGAGTGTTTCTAATATCCAGTAGTCAGTGTCGTAAAATGATTCTTTACTTTGTCTTTAGAAAAGAAAAATAATCAAGAATCGTTTTCTGCTTTATCAAAATGGCAATAATTTCTCAACTGCACTGCAAGAATACAGATGGCTGTAAAGCTTACGAAAAGAGCTTATGTCCATGCAGATTTTGAACGAAATGGCCACTGAAATGACGTAGAAAGAGCGTCAGGATCCCAGTACTCTTACAGAAGTGCTCGAGCTGTATCACATGATTTCTCTCTATGTTTGCCGGCAATACGAAAGGTTTTGCGATTCATTGTAAAAAGATATCCCTACAAGGTCCAAGTTCTCCAAGACCTTCATCCTGCAGACTCGCACAAACGCACTGAGTTTGTTGGCCATTGACAATGGATCCCCTTGGAACATTTTGTGGTCAAACGAATGCCGTTTTACCTTAGAAAGAACATTTAGTACTCAACCCAAGTAGCACATGGCGTAGCAAAGACGTTACAAACTTTTCCGAGAGCTTGCAAAGTGGTGGTAGTAACGTCTTTGCTATGTCATGTGCTACTTGGAAAAACTCTCGCATATGATATATTGTAGTTTCTAATGTTGTACATCTGCATCCTGATTACATTACTGTATGATGTGATTTTACTGTTATCATTCTTTCCTTGAGACGAACATTCTGCAAGGCTCTCATAGGTGTTCCATCACGAGTACCCGTTTTTTCTTCTTAACTTCTTCAGCAACAAATCATTCCTGTCTTACAAGAATGCGAATGTTTAGAGACTATTGTTTTTATGCAAGATGCTGCATCACCTCATATTGTCGGACCAGTGAAGGCACAGCTTCGTGCCCACTTTGAAGATTTACCGGTAATTTTGAGAAGTTTTCTTATTCCCTGGCCTCATCATTGAATCTTTGTGATTACTGGTTGTAGGGATTTCTGAAAGATAATGTTTATGGAGGAATCATACGAACTGTTCCTGAATTGAAAAAAAGCATAACATGTCATGTTGCTGCAACTGATCAAAAACCCCCGCACTATTATTAAACAAGCTATAACACGCTTTGAACATGTGATCGAGGCAAATGGAATGTACATTTTGCAAATGCTGTGGTTAATAAAGTTTTATGCTTCCGATTTGTGTTTTTTGTTCTTCATGCGTTCCGTTTCACGAATGACCAAATTTAAAAAGAAATTAATTTTCTTAAACAACTTTTTCTTTAATCTTTTGACAGAAAAATTGGCTTTTTTTAACATAAAGGTAAGTTCTAAACCTTTTAGGCGAAAAGTGTAAGATTTGGTCATTCTAAAACTCATATAAAGCTAATAAAATTGATCAAACGTTTCCGAAATCCTGACCAACGACATTAGATGCAGGCAAGTAGGAAAATTATAGCTTTAAAAAATCTTAAAGAGTTAAACCTTCAAACCCTTAAATGCACACTATTGACTTTTATCTTTAACTGCTATTTTAATGCTAATAAGGAAGTGCAAAAATATATTTGTAATTATGTAGAATTATACATTTAAGCCGCATTTAAACATTACATTTAAGCATTATACATTGAAGTATTTATTACATTTACACACACACACACAATATGTAAAAGATTAAATAAGCAACGTAAATTTTCCTTCTCAATTCTAAAAATAGTAACCCCTCTCTGCACTGCGTCATTTTGAGAAAAATCCATGTCATATGACTCTTACATAATTCCTGATGATGTAAACGGAACTAAAACTCTTAACAGCCAATAATAATTTTACAGCAATGTTAACCATCCAATCAGAACGCTTTGAGAACTAAAACTAACTCAGTTTGACTTAAGATTTCATCCTGAACGTTACGCACTTGCTTTCCACGCTTTGCCTTAGCTGGACTGCTCTCTGTCTGCTGCTGCTTTCTTGCTACAAAGTTATAAAAAATGTAAGCCTTTTCGAATAGTCACATTTCATCTGTCTACTTGTGTGTAGCCGTAACATGTTGCTGAAAAAAAAAACTGAAGATTTAATCTGCCTTCGCCTCCAATTTTCAACTCATTACGGATACAACCGCCTGCGTTCTATTCCTGCTCCTGAATATATTACATATATAGTATATGTTACGGTGAAACACCGAAATCTGGAGAATGTCGACTTTCACCGGTGAATGTCAATATTCACATAGTCTCTTGGTGTATGTCCGAAATATTTTCCAAATACTCTTATTTCTGACTTACACCGGTCAATGTCGACATTCACCATGTACTAATGGTGAATGTTGAACATATAACAATATTATATTTTCTTCTCCGTAATTCAGTCGCGAATAAATGCTCTTGAGACTTGAAATAAGAACTTAAGAACATGAGAACCTAAAACACACTATACATTCAAAATGAGAAAAAATAATAGAGAAGTTAAAAACTTACTTAATTATACAGTACGTTCTAAGTGAGAAAATAAAATAACAGTAATAAAAAACTTACTAAATTATGTGATTCAAATCTTATTTATTGCAACGACTTAAACTATTATGGCACTCTATGACCTCTCTTTTCGACTTTCACCACAGCATATCTGTGATTGTCGACATACACCGATGAGGGTCCGAATATACAAGAATGTAGTGAAATATTCGGTCTATCACCGACGTATTTGGTGAATGTTGATATTCTCCGGTAAAAGTCGACATTCTTCAATTTCGGTCTTTCACGGTAACATATATATATATGTACATCGAGGTATCAAGAACACGCAAGCAACTTTTGACAATGTAAAAATCCTTCTTAGGGATCTTTCTTTTTTTAGTTTTAAAAGTAAGCAATGAAATATGCACTGTTTACGTAAAATTTATATGCTATGGGGAACAAAATTCAGCTTTTTTGATTTCCAGCGATGCCCATCATTGCGACTCTTCGCCTTTATTTCTTCTAATATGAAATAAAAGCGTAAAAGATACCTGGACATGGCAGGATGAACCCGTGACATGAGGATTTTCCCTCCTTCGATAGTAAATTTCCTCTTTCTAGAGAAGAGGAATCTCTCGTGTGACCTCCTCACCCTGCGGCTCGTAATTAACAACCCTTTTGGACGATTTTAAGTATTTTGGCAAAATGTCAACCAAAGATGCGTTTGACGCGGTCGAACTGTAGAACCTTCAACAAATACTGTCACTTTATGTACTCACTAACGGATTCAACCAAAGGTACGCAACATTTGAATATTATGCATTCTTTTCACTGAAGTTTTTATGCCAGTTTTTCTGGCGCTTAATAATTGTGGTGCGTCTGCAAGATTTTCAAAGAGCTAAAAATTATCAAAAGTATTTTTAATACATTTATTTAAAAGAATCCACACATAAATTAAGTCATATATTTTAGAAGTGCGTTTCTCAAGGGTCAATAATATTTGCAAAAGAGATTCATATTTTTGATAATATCCAACAAAATTTAGTTTCTAAAAAAAACTTAATAATCTGAGTAATTTTATGTTTTTAGCGAAATGAAAAATTCCGCTTTATCTATTTTTCTATTTTAATCAGAATCTGGATAAATTATTTTAACATGTTAAGTTTATTCAGCATTAAATGCAAATTTTATGAAAGCTAATATATTTCTAAGATAATAAATTCCAGAAACGTATTCTCAGAAATTTAACTTTTAAATAAAATGTTTGGGAAAATAGCAAGCAACTGCCTAAATGTATAATGAGTAACTGCTCATGGCTTTTGTTTTTTTTTTTCTGATTATCTTCTTACTTCGTGTAAAGATGTGAATTAAAAAAAAGTTTTAATAGGCAAAGCTAAACTTCACAAGGCATAAGTAATTATAAATAACATATAATATTTACATTTTTAGTAGTGTATTCCATTTGCATCAGTTTCCGTGCTTTTTTATATAAAACTCCCTAATATTCCTTTAAAATTAATCATAGTCTGCAAAATTAAAAGCACTTTAAACTGGAATTTAAAACTCTAACGAGCTTAAGTATAAAAATTTAAAAGAAGAGAAAATTGATAATTACTAGAAATTACATATTTTTATTGTTCTTTCCCTTTTTAAATTAAACATTTTTAAATAAGAGTTTTGAAGTCCTAACAGTCAGATTGCACGTAGGGTAGAATTATTTTTTATTTTAAATTTAAATGAATAAAA